ATCTAATATTTTAGATATGCTTCCAGGAACTTCATTCGCAATCGGTTGATAGCACAATAATCGTATCGGAATAACCGAACTAAAATTAATTCGAAAATAAAAATATCAGTGTAACAAAATTTGGTTAAATATCACAAACTGAAAAAATTGAACTGAACACAAATCAGTAAGAAACAAAAACGAACCGATGCTCATTAGAAATTTGGTGATATTATTAGAATATAATGTACTGCTTTGGGTTGGCAGTCGACTCGGTAAATCGGTGTAACCAATATGGACAATACCATTTGAATCGGTATATAATTCACCCGGCTTTGTGGTCTCTATATTACCGCCTGTTTCTGCAGCCAAATCCACCAGCACACTACCCGGTTTCATTGTTGATACCATTTCCTTTAATTCAATTTCCAAATTAATAAGCGCACTTCGTGCCACTTCAATTTCTTCACGAATGCACACGATACGATCCAAAGTCGGTGAAGCAATAAATCTAAACTTTCAATTTGACAACCTTCGTGATAAGTCGTGGAGCTGGTTTTCCAGGAATAAGTGCCGTTGAGATGATTATGTCGACCTGAAATATTCCCATTATTTCAAATACATCGAGAAGAAATTCGCCCTGAAGATCTTCACGGATTTTCACAATTCTTAATCTTAATGATCATTCAGAATAATTTTAATGTTTATTCAATGTGCTCGCATTCAAAGATAATAACTTGATAACGATATCCGTATGCATATTGACAATTAAATGAAACATTTGATGAATGATAATCTGATGAAAATTACAACTGATAATAACAAGATTATTACACAAACCGAATAATCGATTCAGTTCTTCTTTTCTTTTCAAAATAATTCAGTTCACTTAAAATAAAGATAGGCTAAAGAGAAGAAAGTGAAAGTTATGAAATAATATAACGAAAAAAAGAATAAATGACCTCTTTACATTGTTGTGCAAAAAGCTGCATTTCTTTTTCGATGAATTCTTTACTCATTTCCTTGGCATAACCCCCGACCCCCTCACCTTCCTCTTTAATTTTCACCTCCAAGAATTCACCACCCAACGACTTGATTTGCTCCTTTACGGCTGATCGAGTATCGAAACCACGCACTATCGCTCCCTTCAACATATCTTTCTTATTATTCACTGCTAAGTACGAATGAATTACAGTTTGAAAATATAAAAATTTTGAACTTATATGAAGGAAGAAACTGCATTGGTGCGTATTTTGTTCTTCTTCTTAAATTTCGAAAGAGAATGATAATATCTGACAGATATTAAGGTCACAACGATGAATGCAATTGATTCGGCTAAAAGTATAAAAATAATCAGATGCTTACCATACTCTTCGCAGTACCAATTGAACTAAGACCTGCCACTCCACCGCCAATAACCAGAACCTTGGCTGGTGGCACTCGACCTGCGGCAGTGATCTGACCCGTGAAAAAACGTCCGAAATGATTGGCAGCCTCAATAACAGCCTTATAACCGGCGATATTCGCCATTGAGCTTAACACATCGTACACCTGAACATTATACGATCATCAACACTAAATAACTGATTGAATCGAATCAATTGTAAATTTCGTTGATATGAAATGTATTTCTAAAGTAAGATCACAGCCACGATACACGTCATATGCATAGACGAAAACAGCGAATAAACCTGAGCTCTCGATATTCTCGGAATGCAGTCCATAGCGAATAAGGTGATATTCTTCTTCGCGAGTTCATCAATAATATTCTTATTTTGTGATGGATAAACCATTGAGATCAAAGTTTTCTTTGCACCCAGATATCCGCATTCACTCAGTGAAGGTGCACGCACCTGTAATAGGAATAAGTTAACTATGAAAGATAGTACTTACAATAAAGACAATTTTCTGAATCAAACGACAGCTGATGAAAATGACAAACTCAACTTTCACCCTACATATTAAAATGACTGAATAAATGAGTATGAACGTACCTTCAGAACAATATCGGACTTGAAAGCAGTGTCTCGATCAACCACACTCGCACCAGCCTTTTGATAAGCATCATCGTTGAAGGATGCATTCACACCAGCTCCTTTCTCAACCGCTACATTGAATCCTTTCTTGATTAATGACTCAACTGACGCTGGTGTTAGTGCCACTCGACGTTCACCTTTAGTTCATTATGGATATGATATTAACGTGATCACAGTAAAAACAACATTTACCTACACAAAATTTGTTTATTCATATTACATAGTAATGAATAATCACTTGAAACAAAAAATTCACATTCACATAAATCTTTTGCAAAAAGTTTTACAAACTCAAAGGAATATTTCACATTATTGTTTTTCAGTTTTG